AGAAAGTTACCAGAAATGACCAAAAAATCGCATGTGCGTCAATACAACTCAACCTTTTGCAAGTTGCAAAAGGTTGTCGACCCGACCCAACAGACCAGTATACCCGAACCGAATACATCCCCCCTTTCTCTCTCTATATATACCCACCCACCCTCTACATCTCAATCCCCTTTTCTCCCCTTTCTGCAAGATCAGATTCCGGCGAGCCAGCGAGCGAGTTGACTCACTGCTCAAACAAAATCAAGAATTTCCACCCACACCCCAGATTCCGTTCACCGATCGGTTCCACCCAATTCGATTGACCCATCAAAGCTGCTGCCGCCGAGTATGTCGGACACGTATTGCTCGGACTGCAAGCGGAACACGGAGGTCGTGTTCGATCACGCGGCGGGCGACACGGTCTGCTCGGAGTGCGGCCTGGTGCTCGAGGCCCGCTCGATTGACGAGACGTCCGAGTGGAGAACGTTCGCGGACGAGTCGGGGGACCACGACCCGAACCGTGTCGGCGGGCCCATGAACCCGCTTCTGGGGGACGCGGCCCTCACGACGGTGATCTCGAGGGGGGTGAACGGGTCGGGCGGGGATCCGTCCCTGGCCCGGCTGCAGAATCGGGGCGGGGATCCGGACAGGGCAATCATGGTGGCGTTTAAGACGATTGCTAATATGGCCGATAGGTCTGTGTTTTTCTGTTGCACGGTTGTTCTGTTAGGGTACTGTGGTTAATTGGGTGATTTTTTTCGTGTTAAAGCTGACTAAAGGAATTATTGAAATGAGTTCAAATGGAAGAAGACAAAAAAGCTGTTGAGAAATGAATTCCAAGATTGTTGGTTATTACTAAATCTTGCTCTCAAATTGACAGAGGTGATGATTCTTGGGGTGTTTGGAAAACGGGACATGAAAATTTGGCTTTACAAAGGGAGATCAATTTGAATATATTAAGTAATGATTTGTGTGCTGAATGATATGAAAGGAAATGCTACATTATATCTTATTAAAGAGGAGAAAAAATGATGAGAGTGACCATATTGTAGGTTGATTGAGTGTTACATTGATTTAAGCAGCAAAAACTTTAGCATTGCTTGATATTGGGTGATTGGACGATTTGTTTGTGTTGCGACTTGCGAGAGTTGGTAATGTTGGTGAGAGAGTTGTCATGTTGGTTTTAACTAATGTTGGTGAGAGAGTTGTCATGTTGGTTTTAACTGTATCGTCGATTGTTTGATTCTTACAGATTGAACGGAAAGTAGAATTGTAGGGAAGGGATTGGTGAATGATGGTTCTATTTCTGCAGTGGGATGCTTCTTTTGTTGGTCTTGGACATCAGTGTTACAGCCTTGTGAATGTTGAGTTAGACAATTTGGACTTTGTTCTCTGTTATGTAATTTGGCGAGTCTGATTAGCCTTAGGTGTTCCGGATAACAGTATTGTGAATAGTATAGTAGTATTGTTCTATAGTGATCTTTTTAACTTGTGAAGACAAAATAAGTGAAATTTGCCTGTACTAAAAATGTTGCTATAGCAGTTGAGGAATTGATGAGGCTTATTTTGTTTCATGCTTATTGTCTGAAATATTTGGTGTATTAATTTTTATTCCTTGTGGCCAAATGGGAAGAGGTTTATTGGATACGGCTGACATTATTGCTTTGTTAAATACGTCTGACATGATTTCTTTGTCGAATCTGGCTGACATGAGTGCTCTGTCCTTATGTTTCAGGTTGAGCCTTGTGACTACCATCAAGGTATACTAGTTTTATGTTAGATTTTCGTATGCAAAGGTGATTCAGTCTGCATGCTCTAAGTATTCATATTTCAATTCTGAATTTTATGTTGTCTTCAGTTTTTTGTTTGACGTTTTGTCTATTCCCATATTTTTTTCCTATTGATATGCACACAATTGTATTTGAGTTTTGTGCATGTATATAAATACATCTTCATTTTGCACTTCATGTGAAAATCCTTTTGTCATTCAAAAGGGCTGCAACCTTAATGAAATATGAGTATCTTAAAATCAAAGCTATAGTTTTTGACACATTTATGTGTGAAATTTTCTCACCTTACAGAGTCCTTCGTTTTTAGTTCCTAGAGTGAGACTGGAAATTCTAACTTTCTTTCTTGTTGATGTTATCTTCGAAGGATCGGGCAAGTGAAATATATAAAAGGTTGGAAGATCAGAAGTGTACCAGGGGAAGAAACTTGGAGGCATTGGTTGCTGCTTGCATTTATATTGCCTGTCGTCAGGAAGGCAAGCCGCGCACTGTGAAAGGTGCCACATTTATTTATCACTTGCTTCAAGTTGATAGCTATCATTTACTTTTATATCACATGTTCGTGGAGTCCTCTGAACCTGTGAGTCTCAACTAGAAATATGCTCTATTGTTGCTGGAGCCACAAAGAAAGAAATTGGCCGGGCAAAAGAATTTATTGTGAAACAGTTGAAGGTTGAGATGGGTGAATCAATGGAGATGGGGACCATTCATGCTGGAGACTATCTGGTGAGTTGTACACTGGAAAAATAAGAAAGTTAATTGCTTGTGCTCCAAGGTTGAAGTTATTTTGTCAATTTCGAGTGTATTCTGTTCATCTTTATGGGCACTTTATTAATTTTTTGTGCTGGCGACTTGTGTTTTCTAGAGGCGTTTCTGTTCTAATCTTGGCATGAGCAATGAAGAGGTCAAAGCTGTACAAGAAACTGTGCAGAAGGCTGGTGACTTTGATATTAGGTACTCTTTATTTCATGTTTACATCCCAATGCTGCCCAATTTGTGTGAACTTTGAGAATTAACCGCAACAGATATTTGTATAATTTTTTAGGATTGTTGGTATATTGAATAATACTGATTTGTGTTAGAATATGCATGGAAAGAGTATTTGTTTAATGCAAGAATGTTTCTCAATGTTGTATTACGATGGGAGAAGTTGCTTGATAGGCTTACATTTTGTTTTCTTTGCGTATTATAGGAGGAGTCCCATATCTATTGCTGCAGCTATCATTTTTATGATAACTCAGTTGTCAGATTCCAAGAAGCCCCTGCGAGGTTAGTGCTAATTTCGCTATGCGGCCTTAATTTCGAAAACAACACTCGAGTTTCAATCTAAACTACAAAGTCACAGCTATCTATGTTATTCGTCTTGATATTACAGCAAAACAAGAACTCTAAAGGAGCATTTCAAAAACCAAAGATTACATTATTATTAGTGTAATAAGGCTAACCCTAAATTTTGTGATTTACTCCGTCTGACCTCAATAGCAAACTATTATTTAGCATTCCACTGCAGTAACCTGTGGCCTAAATCTGTCCAGGTCTTATTTCTTGTTTGAGTTTATTGAAATTTTGAAATTGTATATTTGTAGATATCTCGATTGCTACTACAGTTGCTGAGGGGACCATCAAGAATGCTTATAAGGATCTGTATCCTCACGCAGCTAAGATCATACCTGAGTGGTATGCGAAAGAAAGGGACCTCAAGAATCTGTCGAGCCCTAAGGCATGAATGAGGGGTTACGATGTTTGATTATTTGGGGTTCGATACCCAGGTCTTGCAGAGCATTGGAAGGGGTGACGAAGCTGCAAAACGGTTTTTTACTTTGATTTTTTTTTTTTTTTTTCATGTTCACCCTCTTGTCGACATTCGTGATTTTTTCTAATTTTGGAATTTGCGTGTTTGGTGTTCTTGGTATTTTATACAAGTTATAAAAGTTGCTTCCTTTTCTTGGAATAACACTTGGGACCTGCTTGAAATTGTCCTGGATAGTGCTTATTAAGAGTGTGTGCTCTTGTGCAAGTGTATAAGTTCACCTTCTATGTGGGAAAATAGGGTCTTCGAACTGTCATCTCATCTAAGTCCTTTTTATAACAATTCTATTGACTTTTGAGTTTTGGTACATAATCAGTAAAATCACTAATCTACTTTTTATGATTTAAATTTTAAATAAAGCTTAATTGATATATAGTATAATAATGAACGTATCCCTCGAGGAATATTAAATGTCTATATTTTTACTGGTCAATACAATAAAACAAATCCAAAAAAATCAGTCACATCCTCTATTTTGGCAATTTCTGGAGCCAAAAGAACATCTTTATATGATTACAGGAGGTTTCATGTGCAACTGAATAAGTTGTCAAATGCTGTTGCTCATTATTATTACCTAATAATGTGTGGGGTGTGTCACAATTTGGCCCTCTCAATTTTCTTGTTTCCTATTTAAAGAGGAAAAAGAAAACATGAATGAGGCTTCTTATTTTAACTAGTACGTAACCCGTGCGATGCACGAGACATAAGTATTAAATTAGTTATTTCCACATAGCTTGTCCGTTAAGTAGCTCGTGTGATTCACGGGAGATATTAAATGAGTGGACAATAGTGAATAGAATTTGATCATCTATTTTTTTTACATCTTTCATCAACGTCATTTTTTTTGTCAAGACATTAAACCTGAGTCTGATAACGCTAGCCCGTAAATTAATTAATATATTATCTCGCTCACATGTTTATAAATATAAATTTGATTTCATCGTATACATTTATTCCTTTATAATAATAAAAATAACAATTTTACGTAATCTTGTTACTCGTATAATACTCATATTATTTTATTATAAAATTTGTTGTAATATAATGTCATTATTATTATTATTTATACAAGTTATAGTTGTAGTCTTCTTCTTATTTTTGTTTTATTTAATTAAAATATTTAATGTATGTTAATATTATTTATTAATGTAATTAATTTAAATTATGTATATAAATTTAAAGTAAAACATTTTGTAGAAATATTTTACAAAATATACACAAATGTTTTTCTAGAATTTAATTTTTTTATAGTAAATAAACATATTTGAAATTCTATGCAATTATTAAATATCCTCGATATAAATTCGAAATCATACTTGAATTCTATGCAATTATTAATTCCGTCCGATGTTATGAGAAACAAATCATTCGAAAATGTAACAAAATGATAAGGAATTTTAAAATTTAAATTTTAAATGAAACATGTTTTTACTTGAATTCTATGCAATTACTATTTTGTCCAATTTTATGGCAAACAATTCATTTAGGATTTTAATGTAACAAAATAATAAGAAATTTTAAGATTTAAATTTAAATTTGAAATAAGACATATTTTTACTTGGAGTCTATCTATCCGATTTAATTGCAAAACATATCAATTAAGGATGTAATTAATGCAGACCCGTTTTTTAGCTATAAATAATAATACAATTGGAAAAATGATGAAAATAGAATGCATTAATTTTCCTTTGACTTTTCTTTCTACTAAATTTAGTAAATAGGATGGCTTATTATATAAGTATAGATAGTAACTATTAACACTTCCAATATATTATTGTATAATTTATTCGATTCTACATTTAAATTACAAAAGAGATTTCATATTTTATATTGACATAACATATTCAAAATAATTTAGAAGAGTACTCCGTGTGTATAAAGTGTTAGTACTTATCCAACTACCCGGTTTTTTAAAAATTTATGGATATTTAACCACTTTAGTTAATTTATTATTACAATAATATATTTTTTGTTTTTAGCAATATAATATCCACCTACCCGGTTTACTAATGCAAGAATGAATAAAAAATTTAAATAGCAATAATGAATCAAAATAATAATAAAATTCGGGTACGTCGAATAGTTATATTTTTTTTCTTTATACACATTTTTTTTGTATTTACTTTATGAGTATATGAATACGAATGTATGATGATGTAATTAATTGAGTTAATTACTAAAGCAAAGATGAATAAAGAATGTGAATAAATTAAGTGAATAGCAAATATGGAACAACAACAAAATATTAACAAAAACAAATAACTTATTTTATTTAATCATCCTAATTTCTTAAACCATCAAATCTAATATTCAAATAAAACTATTAATCCATGGAAAAAAAATAAAATTACAAAGAACATGAACAATATTTGTTCATATTATGAAAATCATGTATCTTTGTCGCGCCGTTCTCAGATCTTTTGCAGATTCCAAAGCCGGGTCATTAGAATGAGGTGCTTGCTTCTAATCTGATTTGAGTGCGTCAATGCAAGATCAATCTGAATTTAGCGGTGGTCGAGTTATAATACCAATTAAAGTTATTATCCACTTCATAATTACGAATAAAATAGATACGACCTTCCTCCAGTTCTTCCCTTATCTTTTGAATATTAACATTGCGTACCAAACCGACGATGTGTGCGCCCTACAAATACAAAAAAATAATGATTAAACAGGTTTTTTTTGTATGTAGTTCAAATCGTAATTAAAAAAAATAAATAGAAAGCATACCTCCCTATCTAGAAAGAGGATCTTCAAGATGTTATGTTGAATATTTGGAGACTCGCGCTCAAACATACGAACTACATGAAGTTTTAACGGTCATTTCTTGTTTCTTTCAACATCATTAATGATACCGAAGGGTTTTTCCATGTCGATTGGTGATGTTTTTGTTATTTGGAACTGTGCTTTTATACATGCGTGTAAGGTGTTCAATATCGGTTTAGAATGTTGAATATTTATAGGGTGTATATTCAAATTTCTAATGGGAGATAATAACGTGAAACCAATCTTAAGGGAAAATCTGAAAA